CGAATCCTCTGTCTCGCTCACTGCTCCAAACGGCCAGCCGCAGAAGCATACGAGCAGACAAGTACCAATATACAGCATGGAATCTCGTCATTATCAAATGTATCAATCCAGCTTGGAAAAATAAAAAGCCATATAAAGGCAAACTTCATTTTTCGCATCACAGTCAAGGAACATTAACTAAACATGGCATGTAATGTATGAGACGCAAAATTAAAGTTCACAGCATTGAAGACCGCTTACTTTTCAATGGCACAATAGAATGGGTAAAAGTTTTGATGGCATCGAAAAAAAAGGATTTTGTATTTTCTATGTAGCAGATTTGTATATTTCTTAACATGTTCGTCTTAGCCGTAAACCACGTGCGCCGCCATAGGCATAGACAAAACTTTGTGACCCGTGTAACGCATGAGCATATATCTAGTAACAATAAATATGACTTCCCCTCAAGAAAAAACAATAAATATGACTGGCTATTTTCAAATTCGGGGAAATATTATTCCAGTCGTCCCCTCATTCTCTGATTTTTTTTTGCATTAAATAAGTAGATATGGCACAATATAAATGAAGAAAAAGATAATAAAAATTTCATGAGATTAAACTTGTTTGCACTGACTCCCACCAGCCTCGGCAGACGTATCTACATTGTACAGGGTGTTTGACTGTTTGTAAGTTGTAACACTGTACGTAGTGCAGCTCCAGCTAGCACAGCGGCCCCTGTTTTATCGGCCGAGATGGATCTACTAGCGCATATCTAGACACGACAATCCTCCCTTTTCCTGCAGCGTGCCGCCGACTGGACGCCGGCCGCGACCGGCCACCCCCCGCCAGGCAGATTTGCAGCTTGCAGGTGGAGTGCCAAATTAATCGGGCTGGGATTTATTTCCCGCTTTCCACGACGTAGTCGGTAGTCCTGTCCTGTCCTGCCCTGCCATGGCTGCCGATGCTGCGTCGCCCGCGCGGCACCGTGGCGTGGCAAACTCGCCGCTGCCCACAGCTGCAGTCCACAGGTGCAGCAACAGTCCGCCGCCTGGCCTCTTGCGTGTGCGGAGCTGACCGCCATGCCCTGAGGCCCCCATGCATGCCTGCTGCTTGGCCTGCGTCGTCGAGCGAGAAGAATTGGCCGGCCGGCCGGCCGGCGCGCGCGTGCACGCACGCGCATGTTCGCTCACGTTCAGGGGTTAGATCGATTGGCATCCTTTTCCGCGATCGATTCCATCTTTACTGAAGATCTGAAGCATCGGAAAGCGGATTCGATGAGTGCTCGCTATGCGATCGCATTGCGAGTTTGCGACGCGGATCGGCCGCTCAGGGCTTCAGTGGCTCTCACTGTGCATGCATGCTCGCTCGCTAATGAAGGGCAGGCATGATGGCATGATGCACGTTCTGCGCGCAAACTAGTACCACGTCAGAAAAGTGAGAGAGACGGTTTCAATTTTTTTTCCTTTTCTACACGTACGTATATGTTGCAGTAGCAGTATGTTTTACGCGCATGTCACTGGACTGATGTCTGTGGATATAATAAGTCTATTCAGTAGTGTATTCTACACATAGCACTAGCCTTCAGTGCCTGAATAATCGATGATGCACGAGGACGCCTTGGGAGTTGTGGTGTCAAGGGCTGAAGAACTGACGCCCTGTTCAACCTTTTACGTACTCGATCAGATCAGATCATGTAAGCACCAGTAGCCATGTGAAAATCTAGACACCGAAACACACCCATTCAATTCTGTCTTTTTTTTAGGGTATCATTTTTTTTGGCGAAGTTTTAGGGTATCAATTTAATTCTGTCTAACAACCAACGAACAGCTTCCTGCACTGTACTTAAATAGAAGAGTATGTCTTCTGAACAAACGGGTGTTCTGTTGTCTTTCAGTAACCGGTTATTTCAAAGAGAAAAAACAACCAAAAAAACACAAAAGAAAAAAACGATTGTTTTGTTGTCCTTCTGTAACCGGTTGTTCCAAAGGCAAAAAAAACAACCGGATTTTAGGCTTCTGCCAACCGTTGTGTTGCAGCAGGCCAAGCAGAGTAGCATCAACCATCAATAATGGAGGAAAAACATGCATAAACAAAGCAGCTATGGTAGCAGCAACACAACGGAGAGAGAGAGAGGTTGGCAGTTGGCCTGGCTAGGCTACACATACAGTACACTCAAAGATACCCATGCACACCACATGCGAACAAATATGAACATGCACACTCTCTGTCCGAGAGGAGAAAGGAGAAAGGCGAGAGCCAAAACAAAGGTAGAGATGCATCCAAACTTGCATTGCCTTCAATGAACATGAACCAGCAAATGGCGTCACTCTCTTTTCTTCTGGCCTGGCCGAAAGCCTAGCTGTAGCTAAGCCGCAAGCCCACAACGGACCTACAAAAGCAACAGTAATAAAAATCACGAATATATATATATATATATATATATATATATATATATATATATATATATATATATATACACACACACAACTAGAATCATAGAACAAACAAATTGTGACTAATAACTTTCTACCAGAACATGTATATATCTATCTTTCTCCCATAAACAATCAACCAAATCTTCACTACCTAAAAGAGCAAGAACAACAAATGAACAGACAGTGATGACGCCACACACTGAGACTAATACATTCTACTAAAGTACTAAATAGACATATTGAAGCGCCAAGAATTATTTCAGATTAACAAAAGTGTCAAAATGAAATGACAAAACTTATGAATAAAATCTATGTGCCAAAATTAAGGACACAAAGAAAACATAGCTAATGGACAGTATGTCAGTACGATTGAAAAGTGAAAATGCTATGCTAAATCCGACTACTGTATTGGGACAAGTGTAACTCACTCAACGATGAGCAGGTATTTTGATTAGTCTCAGCAGTAAAGCTACGAGTATGATACCATAGACCATGATAGTTAACAAATGTTCTATGCCGGAAAAAGGAAATGCATCTTTCTAGCAACATAATCATCGCGCTTGTTTCATCAATCAGACACTACTAGTACTACTGGTTCTGAAAACTCTGCATATTTTTTTCAATGCCCAGATGGAGCTAGCACTGCGAAACAGATGTCTCTGTACTAGACTGAATAATGAACGGATCTCAAAACTGAAAACTGAGCCAAAAAACAAAATGTCTCTAGACTAAATTGAATACTGAACGGAACTCAACAATAAACCCAGTACTATCTTGCCAGCAAAAGAAGTTATAATACTCCTAAAAGCTGCTATATCACTAATGAGGGAACACGAGGACAGCAAGAGTTAAAGATCAAGAACAGGGGAGACAAACAAAGAATCATGTATGAAGGAGATGACAGAGCTCATGGAGCTGACCTAACGTTGGTATAGCAGATGAGGCCTTCTTCTTGTCCTTGAGCTGTTCCTGAAATTCGTCAACAGCACACTATAATAAACAGAAATAGAAACTATACTAAAATAAAATTGAAACTAAACTAAAAAAATAACTGAAAAGTGAAACTAAATGAAAATTAAAAATTAAAAAACAAAAAACTCTGAGACAAAAATTGATAACTGAACTATCTAAACTCATATCTCTGGATCTCTTCATGCAGAGAGGCACTGCCATACCACCACCACCCATGCTCAACATGATGGTAAATTGCCTCCTGCCTTGTCTTGCTCCTCCTCGAAACTAATAATGGATCAGCTAGCTAGCTTCCTTTCTATTTTTTGCACCATCTGCATAGCGGTGTAGGAGTAGTAGGATCTTGGTTGCTATGGAGTATGTTGCAAAGATCTAGCTAGAAAAGCAACTAGAACGTACATACATGGTTGCCTTGCCTCCTCATGCCCCTAAATTTTTTTCTGGGAAGAAAAAAAAAGACACGCCACAAAAGGAAAAAGTTCAAGATAGAAAAATGATCGTGTACACATCTACTTCCTTCTGAATTTTGATGCGCCCAGATGTCCAGAAATGGATCTTCGTTGCTGCCGTTTCCTGACAACAGCACCCACTTGCTGTGCCTAAATGCCCAAGGCGAAGGACGTACCAGCTAGCTAATCACGCCAACCGAACTCAAATCATGGTCGTGGCCTCGTGGGGATCCAACCAGCGAGCAGCCTCGTCACCATGTAGCTAATCCCCACGGCAAAAAAAAAAAAACATGAAGCGGAGCCACGAATCATTCGTTCTCATGCCAAAAATCACACAATCAATTTAAATAAAACCCAAATCAAACATGGCGACGAACACAGAGCCCGCATCCGCGCTGCACCAAAATCCCGGCGATGAAATGAAGAAGACATCGAACCAGCGCCAGAAAAAACAGATTCACAAGGAATAAACTCGATCCTCTCATCCAAACACATCACTAATGCGGGAACGGACCCTAACAACAATGATTTACTAGCAAACAAGGGAGCAGAAGCAAACAAACCTGGCCAAATCCTAGAAATCGCTAGTCGCCGCCGACGGGGAACGAGAGCACCGCGAGGTTGCCGCCGACGGGAACGAGAGCACCGCGAGGAAGACGAGACGAAATGAAATGAGGAAAAGGGGGAAACGGACGCTACACATTCGGGCGCGACTCCCCAAAACATAAACAGTAGCGCCGACGTGCAGACCCCACATGATAGAGACACAGAGAAACAAGAGCGCCGGAGACAGATCGGGCGGCAGACCGGATGGCAGACGCAGCGACACGTGCCAAATCCGACGGACAGAAAACCGGTTGCTGGAGAGAGCGAAAACAACCGGGCATGAGATAGCATTTCTCAAATAGAAACACAACGGCTGACGTGCAGTGTCAATGCGCTTCAGGACGCGCACAGGCCGTGTGGCCGCGCCGGGACCCCGACGACCTCTGCCCGCGCGGCGCGCCCTGCACACACGCGTATTTATACCGCCGGCCGAGCCTGCTAGCTAGAGTACCACGCCTCCACAGTCTACTGGCAGCGCGCGAACTGCAGCCTGCAGGTGAAGGGCGCGAAGCAGTAAGAGAGAGAGAGAGGGAGGCGAGGTAGACGTACGGCGGCGGTGATGTCGCAGCTGCAGGCGGCGGCGGCGTCATCCAGTGGAGCTCCTACTACCCCTGCACTTGAAGCCGACCTCGAGGGGAAGCTCCTCCTGCACGACGACAACGTGTCGCCACCGGCAGCGCCGCCGCAGATCAAGCGAGGGGAGCGGCGCCAGCCTCGTGAGGGCGGCGCCGACGTCGTCGGTGACCAACGCGAGAGGTTCCTTCGCGCGTACGACCGCCTACGGGACGAGCTCCTCGACGACGACTCGTGCGACTGTGCGAGCTCACCGACGAGGCCAGGCGCTGGGTCGCGCAGGTACATACATCATACGTACGGTAGACTTTGCGCACGTACATACGCAAATGTTCCTCGGTGCATGCATGCATGTATGGTGCACCTTGCACGTTCATGAGCAGCGTGCCAGCGTCACATTAACGTAGTTATTTTAGGACAAATAAGATCAATCCGAACATGCACGTTTTGGCTTGGCCCACTTAAGAAGCGCACGCACTCCAAGTCTGTAGCCTTCTACCATTTTGGCCCATTAAGTACACGGCAAATTTGGGCCCATTTAAGAGCCTACCCCTGCCACGTTTCTCTGCAAAATTCGGCCCATTTAGGCCTGTATGTACAAATAACGCCCTAGGAGGCTATAGGACAAAGTAGTGACAAACCATGCCTAACCACCATTGATCACTGATGTGTTCCTCTCGATTTTTTAAAAAGAATAGCATACGTGCACAGTTTTTATAAAACCTGCAGAAACTGAACGTTTGATGCGGTATAAAATAGATTTATTTGATCCACGAACTCGAGATGAGTTAAGTCATTGTACATGCACCGTGCGAGTCTCATCCATTCTCTGTTGTATTCTTTCAGATGATTGACTACAACGTGCCTGGAGGTGAGGAGGCATCCATCAGAGATCAGACCACTACATAGCACCAGAACCTCATTTTGTAACACAACAGAGCAAAGTTTCCGAGTTCATATATTTGGACATATTCAAATTAAGTAGAAGCTGATGATACCATATAGTACAAAACAAAAGACTTATGAGCTTTGAAATCTCAAGCAAAATCCAGAGTGAATCTCTACAGCTATATAAACTCTTCTAACACGCTAACCGTACCTTTTCTTTTTAAGGGAAACTGAATCGAGGTCTGTCAGTGGTGGATAGTTACTTGCTGTTGAAACAAGGAAGCGAGGTTGCTGAAGATGAATTCTTCCTCGCTTGTGTTCTTGGCTGGTGTGTCGAGTGGGTAATGTTGCTGATGACCCTTCTAACTATGATTGTTCTGGTCAAAAGAACGAAATTTCTGATTATTTTGTTGCAATGAAATACATGCAGTTTCAAGCATGTGCATTGCTACTTGATGATATCATGGATGATTCTCATACAAGGAGAGATCAGATTTGTAGGTACCGACGGCCTGAGGTCCTTCAAATGACATCTCACTTTCTCTTCTCTATGTATCCATTTTTATCATTTGAGTCCAGAATTTGTCTATTCAATTAAGCTACAAAGTATATTCGTTTTCTTCCTTTTTTTAGGTTGGTCTTCATGGCATAAACGACGGTATTGTACTGAAATGCCACATCGCACGCTTGATAAAAAAGTACTTTAGAGAAAAGCCTTACTACATAGACATCTGTGAACTATGGAACGAGGTCAGTCCCCTTCGGATGAAAACACTACAGAAATCGGCAAATTTGTAACAACCATAGTTTTAAATCTCCCGCTATAGCCCGCTATAGCCTTTTGAGGCAGGGTGCCTCTATTTGAGTTCATATATCCCGCTATAGCCCGATATAGCTCCGCTGTTAGCTGATTTAGAGATATACCGCTAAACACCTTAGCCCGCTATTTAAAACATTGGCAACAACACAAGTCAATGACTACTATTTGGATCTCACGTGCAGATAGCATTGCAGACTTCGCTTGGACAGATGCTTGATCTTATCAGCACACATAATGTGGCGAATGACGTTGCAAAATACAATATTGAAGTGTATGTGATTTATCTGACTGGTTAAATTAAATATTCCATTGTCTGTGCTAATGCATTTTTCTTTTGCTGCATAGGTACCGTCGTATTGTCAAGTACAAGACATCTTACTACTCTTTTTATCTTCCTGTGAGTCTGAAGTTCAGAATAACTACCTATTCTCAGTCATGCATATGAAAATATTTATCTTTTGTATTCTTATGAAAAATCATGTGCTAAGCTATAAATGTTGTCTAAAAGCTATTTTTCAGCACATATTATTAGTAGACATATAAATATTGTCTAAAAGCTATTCTTCAGCACATATTCTTAGTAGGCTTGCCAACGAAAAGGTGTTTCCATCAGGTGGATTTATTGGGAGATTTTTAATATGAAATTTGAGTGTGAACTGAATCCTAACGAACTGAACACAAAGGACCCTGTCCAAGCATGCCCCAATAATTAAACATCGTTAGCACACCTAGCAATTGCTCAATGGATTTGCCTTTTGAATTAAATTTCATACTCACTCCCAGTTTCCACACCAATCCTTCCACGATGATGATATTCCTTCATAAGATAACTTTTAGTACTACATTACATATCTACCGCTCTTTTGAATTAAGACACTCAGATTTTGTCCTCTACAATGGCTTTAGGTGGCTTGTGCATTGCTGTTGTATGGCGCAAAACTTGAAAACTTCAGTGGCCTAAGGGATGTGCTTATTGAAATGGGCATATATTTTCAGGCACAGGCATGTCATTTTTTTATGGAATATTACGGCTGGTGCTAGTTTACATTTCCCTTGACAGCTACCCAACATTATATTTTCCAGGATGATTATTTGGATTGCTTTGCAGATCCTAATACAATAGGGAAGGTAAAATAGAGGTCAAAATATTACCAGAAAGTTATTTTTTAACAGAATAGGTATGTCATGTTGTGCTCTTCTCCATTGTAGATTGGAACTGATATTGAAGATCACAAGTGTTCCTGGTTAATTGTACAAGCTCTTGGCCATGCCAACAGTGACGAGATAGAAGTACTGCTGGTAAGTAATTTGTTAATAATCGTTTAGCTGATAATTCAATGAAAAATGACATCATACATTGTTTTCTAGAAAAACTATGGAAAGAAGGATTCAACTTCGGTTTCAAAAGTGAAAAACACTTATTCTACTCTTGATTTGAAGGTAACTGGATTGAGACACATGGATGCTGTTTTCCAACTTATTTTATGCTTAAGTCATAATGAGCATGCTATGATATTTGAAGTTTGAACTTTTAGTAAGAAATTGGTCGTTTGCGCGCTCTTCAAAACAGACATGAGAGATGAGAGGGGGGGGGGGGCATATATTGTTTTTTCCCAAACTTATATTTTATAGTTCATGCAGCATTCCTATTCCAGCATCTTCAGTTGACATGATTTCCTGTCATCTGACTTTATGAGATTTTTGTAGTGAGGCAATGTGATGCATTTAACTCTGATGGAGTCATTTATTTGTTGGAAGTTGAAACTTCAAATTTCAATCAGCTTGCCCTCATTTGCCTCAACATGACTCTTCTGTTGTGTCCCAGGACATCTTCTCTGAGTTCGAAGATCGAGCTTACAAACACTTGGTCACATCTATTGAAGCTCAAAATGATCGCACGGTGCAGGAGATCCTGAAATCCTTTCTGAAGAAAATCCATCGCCGAAAGAAGTAGACGAAGACGACGGAGATTGCCTAGTTCCCACTGACCTATATCTCATGAGGAAGACGACCGCACACACCTATGTTATCAACGTGATTTTTCTTTTCCATTCATTAAGATTATATTCACGCCATGTTCAGAGCATATTGATTATCTAGATTGTGGTTGATGTGAAAAATGTGCGTCTTATGTGCCACGTGCATTCCATTCATTAAGATTATATTCACGCCATGTTCGGAGCAGATTGATTATCTAGCTTGTGGTTGATGTGAAAAATGTGCGGCTTATGTGCCACACGCCAAACACTGTGCGCTTTACGTGTGACGCTAGACTGGGAGTTCTGACCAGGACTCGGAAGTTCCGATGTCGACCGGATGTCCAGTGCCATCCCACATCTACATGCATAGCAGCATAGATGTGATGAAATGGCAATCGTTATGGTTTTATGGTAAAGGACTAGCAAACCACAACTTTTGTAGCAATGGACATCTCCAAGCATGCTAGTGAGGGCCGTTAAAATGTGCATATAAGAGGGGCCCCATTAGAGCATGCACGACTTTAGTTTGCCATATGTCAGCAGCAAACCTAGGTTTTGAATATTGAAGATCAGCAGATAAACAACAATAACTGAAATAGGAAAAGTAGGTAAACATGAAGAGAATGTAACAAACATATTAGTACATTTTGTTGAGGGTTTCATTTTTTGGGATATTGGCCCTTTAAATTTATATATATAGAGTAGGAAGGCCTTACGCCATGTAGAGTGAGTCACTTAAAAATATGCCTTCAACCAAAACAACCTCAAATAGACATAAACATGGGCTAACCTAGAAGCCCCTAGGTCGCTCCTAGGGTGGCACATACCTCGTCCCCCCTATGAGTATATATAGAACCGCAATGATGTCCATTGATGCACTAGTTTGTACATTAAGGTTCTCCTACCGGTAATCCACCCAAGAGCCTGACGACTCCTATCCCATATTCATAGCATTATCGATGGTGATGTGAACATCATCATGCCATGTTCTTGCTTGGCTGCTCATGTTATATCCCTATGGTCCATGGAGAACACCTTTGTTTAGAAAAAGAATGCTTGCCCTAAACTATCATGGTAAGTGGGGGTAAGAACTTAGGAAGGAGCAAGTAGGGCAAGAGAGCTATCAACTTGTGGTGAGAACTCTTATAAACCTGTCTGATAAAACATGAGTCTTGTACTATTGTAGTGAGAACTCTTTGAACCCCAATCATAAGACATGAGTGAGTCTACATGGGGTATATGAGACAATAATGTCCCTAGACCCCTTAACTATTACAATATGTTCACCTACTACTCCCTGAGATACCAAAGTTACTACATCCATTTGACGATGGACAGTTGGACACTACAATAGGAGCTGGAACGATTGTTAGGGACACTAGAGCAATGTTCTCAAATCCATAAATACCACCCCACAACGCCATCCGGATGAAATTGATGCTATATTAGTCTTGTGGGTCTCGGTAGCCCCAATCAAGAGCCCCTTATGCGGGAACATTCCATGGGGCTTGGTATCGTTCAGGTCGCTCAAATATGTAACGTATCAATTTTTTGTGCCAAGATTATTAGATAGCAAAAAAAAAACATAAACTTTTTTTTTAATTTCTTTTACTGGATTGTGTGTTTACATGTAGATCTAATCAAACATCCCTTCTTATCTTAATTCAAAAATCCACCTCAAGGTTTTATTTTAAAAATTCAAAAATTCGTCGACAAAACCCAAACCTCTAGAAGGTTAGTTTTGAACCAGTACTTGTATAAACCGATATTTGTTTGAATCAACACTTACTCTAAACCAATATTATTTTCAAACTATGTTTGGACAAGTTGTCTTGGCTAGAATTGAAGAGCCTTAAAACCAACATATTCTGAAAACTCACAACCATTCCCTTTTAGAAAAACGCCTTAGAAATATTCACATAAACAAGAACCATTTAATTAGAAATTGGTTTTCAATAAAACTACTTGGAATTATTTTACCCATATTTTTGGAAGTTAGTGGCAGTATTCCATGAAAAGAATAAGCACAAATCAGGAAGAATATAAAAAGTGCAAAAGGAGAAAAAAAACTGTAAAAGAATTGTTTGAAAAAGGAACGGCCCATGTCGCACTAGAAAAGCCCGCACGGCTGCGCTCCCCTCGGCCGAACACCTCCGACTGGGCTATTGCGGCATTGCCGCCGCCGCCGCCGCCGCGTGCGCTCTCTTTCTCTCTCGCTCTCACTGTCGCGCGGCGACGAGCCGACGACTGGGCTACCGCCGCCCTACGCCAGGGGCCCAGGTCTTCATCGGGCTCTTCGCTAGCAGCGAGCTCCCACCAGGTATGCCTGCCCCTGCTGCTTCCCTTCACAGCTTCCCTCACTGCTGCTGTGCGAAACCGAGCACCCAAACCATAACTTAAGCTATTTGTCTATTTGCAATCGGATCTGATCTAATCGCAAGTGTATACATGTATTACGCCTGCTAACTTCTAGTTTGTTTTTGCAAAAAATTATCCGGTGTACATGTCTCGTGTACTCCCATGTCCTCTACTGGGTCCGCTCCTGGTCGTGAGACCAACACTCGGTCACTTGTGCTTGCTGTTCAGCAAGCTACCATTAAGTCAATAGTATATGCAGTATATCTAGGAACAGCTATTGGTTGACAGCATGTGCGTAGACAGCGTAGTTATATTAGGTGGTAAATTTGATTCTGGCTTAACAGCACTGTTTACTACAGCAATTCTGTGTTACAGCGATTTAGAAGACAAGTTCTAGCATCACATGAATGTTGGACTATTGGATGGCAAGTAGCTTGTTTGACTAGGCAGAGTTTGTATCATCATGTTGCAGTAATAATCAACTTTGTAGCTGCGTTGGTAGCACTTGTTTTCAATGTTTAGTTAACAGGATTAGGGTTTTGAAGGTTCAACATTTGCGCTAAATGTTCCTCCTCTCCTAGTTTTTGAAGTTTGAACTTACCTATAAAGCACACTAACACAGTGAACTTGTAGAAAAAGTGACTTCTTTCTTTTTTTAAAAGCATGTTTGTGCTTCACTCGAGAACTGTTTTGCATAAGTTTATTAGTAGCAGTACCTTCCTGACATTTGAAATAATGGCACCATAATCTATGAGATCACAAATAAAACAGATGAAATGTTGTCATTTTGAAAAGAAATGCTCATCTATCACGATTGTTTGATCTTCTTTGCTTCGCCATGCTCAATCTCTCTGTACATTTATATTATACCAGTGCAACATTTCTGCAGTTTCACTGTAGACTTAACAGAACACTGATTCCTGATTGATTTGGTGCAGATCTCCCATTCATTTTTTTGAAATAAAAATCCTTGGGTTTGGGATGGCATCACCTATCCAAATGACTGCAAGCAATCTATTACGCACAGAAGGCTTTTCTGGAAATATGGTATGCAATCTATCATCTATGAAGTAACACAACTTTTTTTTTTTGGCTGGCATTAGTTTAATCTTATGTTTTTTATCTACATAGGGACAAAGATATGGTTTAATTGCTGCGAGAAGTCTTGGATCAAGAAGGTTGCGAATGACTCAACATTGCTTTCATCAACAGCATCTTTGTTGGAGACATGTACAAAGAGGTGTGGTTCGTAATATCAGATCATCATCATCTCCTGGGGCTGTGGTATCCAAGGGGTTTGACAGTTCATTAGTTGAGAAACCTGATACTTCATTGGATGTTGGAATTATTCATTTGTACCGTATACCATTTCTTCAAGAAAGTGAAACTATGGAGCTGCTCAAGAAAGTGAAGGCGAAGGTTTCTGCTAAAATTGTTGATATACTGACCGAGCAGTGCTTCAACATTCAATTGGATAATCCACTCACCCCTGAGAAGCTTTCAACGCTTCATTGGCTCTTAGCAGAAACTTATGAACCAGACAAGTTGCAAAGTAGGAGCTTTCTGGAGGAGGAAGTATCTAGAAGTTCCTGTGCTGTTATTGTTGAGGTCGGTCCCCGGATGACATTTTCGACGGCATTCTCGACCAATGCTGTCTCAATTTGTAAATCTCTCTCATTAGTAGAAGTGAGCAGACTGGAGCGGTCAAGAAGATACCTTTTGCGCCTTGAGCCTGGTAATGGTCCACTTGATGAAAGTCTGCTCAAAGAATTTGCTGCATTGGTTCACGATAGAATGACAGAGTGCATTTATCCCAAAAAGCTGACATCATTTCAGTCAGATGTAGTTCCTGAACCTGTCTGTGTTGTTCCAGTCATTGAAAGAGGAGAAGAAGCATTGGAAGAAATAAATGTGAAGATGGGGCTTGCTTTTGATAAACAAGATATTGACTACTATACACACCTCTTCCGAGATGATATTAAACGCAATCCGACTACAGTGGAACTTTTTGATATTGCACAATCCAATAGCGAACACAGTAGACATTGGTTTTTCAATGGAAAACTTGTTATAGATGGAGAGACCATGCCTGCCACTTTGTTCCAGTTAGTGAAGAGCCCTCTGAAAGCCAACCCCAATAACTCTGTCATCGGGTTCAAGGATAACTCGAGTGCAATAAAAGGATTTCCAGTAAACCATCTACGCCCAACAATTCCAGGTTCCAGTTCACCATTATCCATCATGATGCGTGAGCTTGATATTTTATTCACAGCAGAAACCCATAATTTTCCATGTGCTGTTGCACCATACCCGGGAGCCGAGACAGGTGCAGGTGGCCGTATAAGAGACACGCATGCCACTGGAAAGGGTTCTTTTGTTGTTGCTTCCACTGCTGGTTACTGTGTTGGTAATCTTCGAAGTTGACAATTCAAATGCACCCTGGGAGGACCCTTCATTTTCTTACCCAGTGAATCTGGCCTCTCCATTGCAAATTCTTGTCGATGCTAGTGATGGTGCCTCTGACTATGGGAACAAGTTTGGTGAGCCTCTAATTCAGGGATATACCAGAACATTTGGGATGAGGTTGCTAAATGGGGAGCGGCGTGAATGGTTGAAGCCTATAATGTTCAGTGGAGCTATTGGGCAAATTGACCATGCACACATATCGAAGTGTGATCCAGAAATTGGCATGCTAGTTGTGAAGATCGGTGGTCCAGCATACAGAATTGGTATGGGCGGTGGTGCTGCCTCGAGTATGGTTAGTGGCCAGAACGACGCAGAGCTTGATTTCAACGCTGTACAGCGTGGAGATGCTGAGATGGCACAGAAATTGTATCGTGTGGTCAGGGCATGTGCAGAAATGGGAGAGAATAACCCTATCATTAGCATTCATGATCAGGGTGCAGGAGGAAACTGTAATGTTGTTAAGGAAATAATATATCCAAAGGGTGCTGAAATTGATATCCGTGCAATTGTTGTTGGTGATCATACATTGTCGGTCTTGGAGATATGGGGTGCTGAGTACCAGGAACAGGATGCGCTACTTGTGCAACCTGAGAGCAGAAGCCTGTTAGAGTCGCTTTGTGAGAGGGAAAGAGTTCCAATGGCTGTCATTGGGAAAATTGATGGCTGTGGAAAAATTGTGTTGATTGATAGCGCTGCTGTGAAGAATGCCAAGTTGAATGGCCTCCCTCCTCCATCCCCTGTTGAAGAACTTGAGCTTGAAAAAGTTCTAGGAGACATGCCTCAGAAGACCTTCAAGTTCAAGCGTGTTTCTCATGTCACAGAGCCTTTAGACATTTCACCTGAGGTAACACTTTTGGATGCTCTGAAGCGAGTATTAAGGCTCCCATCTGTGTGTTCAAAGCGTTTCTTGACCACAAAGGTTGATAGGTGTGTGACAGGCCTTGTTGCACAACAGCAGACAGTTGGACCTCTCCAACTTCCGCTTGCTGATGTGGCTGTGATTGCACAGACATACACAGACCTAACAGGTGGTGCTTGCAGCATTGGAGAACAACCAATAAAGGGTTTGCTTAATCCTAAGGCCATGGCCAGACTTGCTGTTGGGGAGGCCTTGACTAATCTTGTCTGGGCTAAGGTTACATCACTTGCTGATGTCAAAGCAAGCGGGAATTGGATGTACGCTGCAAAGCTTGATGGCGAAGGTGCAGATATGTATGATGCAGCTGTCGCATTGGCTGACTGCATGATTGAACTTGGTATTGCAATAGATGGGGGAAAAGACAGTCTTTCCATGGCAGCCCAATGTGATGGTGAACTCGTCAAGGCTCCTGGAAATCTGGTCATCAGTACTTACGTGACATGTCCTGATATAACATTGACAGTAACCCCTGATTTGAAGCTTGGTAATGATGGAATCCTTCTGCATATTGACCTCGCTAAAGGAAATCGCCGTCTTGGTGGTTCTGCTCTTGCACACGCATTTGATCAAATTGGAAATGATTGCCCGGACATTGATGATGTTCTGTACCTGAAGAAGGTTTTCGAGGCCATTCAGGAATTGCTCAGTCAACGTCTTATTTCAGCAGGCCATGACATAAGCGATGGTGGCCTTATTGTGAGTGTTCTTGAGATGGCATTTGCTGGTAATTGTGGTTTTAAGCTCGACATAGACTTGGAAGATAGGAGCCTTCTTGAAGGACTTTTTGCAGAGGAGCTTGGCCTTGTTATTGAAGTGCACTCAAAATATATCGATATCGTGAAGCAAAAGCTTGAAGCAACAGGCATTTCTGCTAATGTAATTGGAGAAGTTACCTGCTCACCAGACATAGAAGTTTTTGTTGATGGCAATCTGCATCTCAAGGAAAAAACTTCAGATCTCAGGGATCTCTGGGAGGAAACGAGCTTCCAGCTTGAGGAGTTACAACGTCTGAAATCTTGTGTCAAACTTGAGAAAGAAGGATTAAAATGCAGAACATCGCCGTCATGGTCTCTGTCTTTTACTCCCAAATTCACAGATGAGAAACTGTTGATTGCTTCCTCAAAACCAAAGGTCGCTATCATTCGTGAAGAAGGGAGCAATGGGGACAGGGAAATGGCTGCTGCATTCCACGCTGCTGGGTTTGAACCATGGGATATCACAATGTCAGACCTCTTGGCTGGGAAGTCTTCTCTAACAGAGTTCCGTGGGATTGTGTTTGTTGGCGGTTTTAGCTATGCAGATGTGCTAGATTCAGCGAAAGGTTGGGCTGCATCGATCAGGTTTAACAAACCCCTCGTTCAGCAATTTCAGGATTTCTATCATAGGCCAGACACGTTCAGCCTTGGAGTATGTAACGGTTGTCAGCTTATGGCTCTTCTTGGCTGGGTGCCAGGATCTGATGTTGGAGGTTCTCTTGGTAAAGGTGGAGATATGTCCCAACCCAGGTTTATTCACAATGAATCCGGTCGTTTCGAGTGCCGGTTTACCAGTGTGTCCATTGGGGATTCTCCTGCTATCATGTTCAAGGGGATGGAAGGTTCTACCTTGGGTGTTTGGAGTGCTCACGGCGAGGGAAGAGCTTTCTTCCCAGATGAAAATGTTCTAGCTACTGTTGTGAAGTCTAATCTGGCACCTGTGAGATATTGCGATGATTTTAACAACATAACCGAGACCTATCCCCTTCAATCCTAATGGTTCTCCACTAGGTATTGGAGCCCTTTGCTCCCCTGATGGGAGGCACCTTGCTATGATGCCGCATCCGGAGCGTTGCTTCATGATGTGGCAATACCCATGGTATCCCAAGGAATGGCAGGTTGAGAAGAGTGGCCCCAGCCCTTGGCTGCGGATGTTCCAGAATGCTAGGGAATGGTGTTCATAGTGCAGGTAAATTAGTCTTATTAACTGCTTTCTGCTTCTGTTTGTGGCACTATGAAATCAATTTTAGCAGAACCTTTAACTTCCTGTGCACCGTTACATTTCCGTAGAACCAATGGTTAGGACTGAGAATGTTATTAACATGTTATTAAGTTTCATTTCGTAGAACCTTATTCTCTCCCTTTTTAACAAACTACACTGATTGAACTTTTGGATACACAGAGAAGCCATGTGTTGGTCTGTTTGAATGATTCAATGACCCAGTTAGCCTAGCTGTCAGATTGTCACAAGTCAGCAAGACAATCAATCAGTCCAAATTACCTAATAGATTTAAAAATTCCAGAGTCCCTGTCAAAACAACATTTACTCTTGATTTAACTTTATCTGCTACTTTGTGTATGATCTATAAAGTTGCTGAGCACTTTATTCTCTTTATGTTCTATCGGAATTTTCTGTTTTTTTTTTTAACACGTAGGAGAGCTGTGTATCTTTATATTAAGAAGAAAAGGGGCAAGAATCCTTACAACATACACCTGAAATTTTGTGTTGCAGCTGGACTTTGAGCTTTCTTGTTCGTTTCCGTGTTCTGTTTGGTGCAGCTTGCCATATTATGCTTAATAGTTGTTCTAAGTTTGGTGCAGCTTGCCGTATCGTGCTTACTCTACTAGTTGGGCTATATGATTTTGCAGGGCAGTGTCTGGCTTCAGCGATGTGGTCATCACCGGGGTACCAGCTATTGCGAGTATGGATGGTTCTCATTCGATGACCCCCTTTTTTGCGGAATAAAGGTGTTTGACCAGCAGTGCGTTTATCCAATAGCTGATAACGAGTTTCAAGTTTGAAATTTAAAAAATGGAAAACTACCTGGTTGTCGCTTAGTCTGTGAGGACGCCGGATCTGACTCCATGTCTTGCTGATGGTTGCCAAAGATACAATAACTGTCATCCCTCATCAGTGAATTTCCCAAGTAACACAGAGAATGCTTGCTCTGTTACCCAAATTAAATGCTTATGCGATGTTCAGAAGCTTCTAACAGTTCAAAAGAACCCGGTGGCAGGGGACACGTACAGATAACGTATATGACTCCTATCAACAGACAATAACTGATGGGTGAGATTTTTGGTGAGGCTGGGTCTACTTGACGAAAAAGGGACATCTTATTTTAAAGATGCTGCAACCTACGGATTGCTCGTCTGATGGCACTTTTAAGCATTAACACAGCTTGTTACACAACTAGCTTGTATACAGACATCTATGGTTGGTTCACATGAGTTGTACACTTATACTGCTATATACCATATTTTTCTCCGTGAATGAAGACAAACACTCGCCCCAAGTGGATGGATTTTCTGGCTTTTCCATATCTTTGCCATCCACACGATTGATTACTGTTGTAGTGTTGTGCTTCTTTTTTTACCTATGATTTGGCATGTCCTTGGACCTTGGAGTTTGGATCGCATTATTACCAAACTCCTCTTTTGACACCTTGATGAACGGATTAGCATCAGCAAGCACAAGCAATAGAATAATACATGCGTTACAATTTTGCTGTAGATTAACGAGAAGGTGCCCTAGATTTTCTAAGGCCAATTTTAGTAGGGTCTCATGAGCATTAAATAAACTGACATGGTACAGTATATAAGAAGAGAGACGATGAAAGTTTTATAGGGTGAAATTGTTTCCATTAAAGAGTCTTGAAAAATAAAGATACAAAACTCTCACTAAAACTGGTCTAAAAGAGCTACCACGGCGGCGAGAGCACCGGAGAGGTTGATGGCAACATTATTGGAGGCGGCGAGAGCGATGCCAATGCTGAACATGTGTCCTCGTCGAGCTAGAGCTATTGTATAGCTGTTGCCTTGTTGGTCTTTACCAATCTATATGAAAGAAAAATATCAAGGGACCATTTAGTTGTGCTTCTTCAGCGGCTGCCGGAGTAATGCACAGGGCTATCAAACGGGACACAGCAAAATAGCTATGCGTTGAGAGAGGCCTGCGCCTGCAGGAGTTGGAGCTGAAAAATATAGCTTCTTCCATCTCCTTGTGATGCTCGATTGGACATTGATGTCCCAAGGTCCACATGCTTCCGTTCTCTTCCCTCACATGCCAGCGGCCGACGACATAGACCACATAGGCGCGCAAGCGTGCGAGGCTAGTGGTAGGGATGGCGGCAGAGGAGGTACACCGCGAGGTGAGGGGCGGCGATGGGAAGTTGTGTTATGGTAGGAAACGGGGCAACGAGAAGGAGTCACGATGGAACACGAGTTGCGGCGGAGGAGAGGGCCAATGATCTAATAAGACAGAGCAAGAAGTCATGCGAGGTGAAAGATGAGGAGCGTGTTGCATATATTATGGGCTTGGTCCGTATAATATTTAATAAATTAAATAAAATTCTATGGTACGTAATATTAAGCGTTGTATGGTTTAATACTATACGGGATTTTGACTGAACGTTAATTCAGCTTATATGGTAGAAAAATTTTCATCTTAATTGAGAAGCTGAGAAAAGGACATAGGCGTGCCACGCGCGCGCGCGCGCCGCCGCCGCCGCCAGCGGCCGGGTCGAGGGCGAGGCGGGCGTGGCCAGTCTTTTGCCACTTAATCCACATAATTACGGGAGTTTTCTCTCCTTTATGATGAAGGCGAATTGATTGCGTCAGTTACCGTCCCTTCCGCTTTCCGTCTCCTGGGATTTTTCGCTGCCTTTCTTCCTTCCCGTCGCAGCTATATATCCGCAGTTCTCCGTCAGTCCAGATATTCGGCTTCCGCTTCCACAACCGCTCCCGAGAGAAACCACATCTCAGCAGCCCTCTGGCTTCCTCGTCCCGTACCTCTGCGCGCAAGGAGTAGTGGGAGAGCAGTTGCCTCTGGAACCCTCATATGCCTGAGAACCTTGCACGGGGTGAGCGGCGATTAGGTTTTTGGGAAGCGATCCGCGACTGCTCGTCCACGTACGTCTTCTTTCTGGTGGTGATCGCTCTCAGAACATGTCTTCTTCCCGGTGATTGCTTGCGGAACACCAAGGCGTCTTCTTCCTGATGATTCGTTCATGGGACTGCACTGCGAACACCGTCCTGCATCGACTGTGGTCCACGACTTCGAGCAACGCACTATGTCGACTAGTGCGAATGGAGACTCCGATGCCCTCGGCATGGGACCCTCCACTGGGTACATTCTAATATCTGTGATTACTGTACTTTACGCTTTTACTGTATCGATCTGTATGTTATGTCTGCATGATGTAGCGTTCATTAGAAATATACACATGCACATATATGCCGTCACGAACCCGCTGATGTTATATTTCTAGATTAAATTAACCATAAAAATGCCTAAATTTCTAACAGAGCAGCTGTCTAGGTGAACTAGATAAGGGAGAGGAAGAAGGGAAGACATAAGAGATAAAAGTAGAAAAGAAAATCTTATTTTTAATGAAATATTTGTGAAGTTGTGTTCTTGAAAGAAGAAGAGAAGAAAATAAAGAAAGAAAGAAACAAAAGAGCCTTAGCTCGACAGGCGTGTGAACTGCCCTTAGCTCGGCAAAAGAAAAATAAATAAAAGAATATATTATAGTCATTTCACTGATTTTAACAATTAGAGAAACCGTTTATCAAATGTTTTTCTAACTCGAGAAACTGAAGAAAAGAAGTACTCCGTCGTTTGTATCGGAGAAACTACAGCTGAAATTGTTTTGCGCGACTGTAGCATAGAGTTGGGTGCCACAATTATTGATCTTTGGAAATGGCCGTGCTAGCTACGTCTCCTTCCGTATGAAGTCATTTCTTGTTTTCTCTCAGAACTCAGAAGAAAGCACTATATGGTTCCTGCAAATTCCTGACCAACTAGGTGCTAGTGCTACATTTTCTCCGTGATTGAAGGAGCCAACCTTCGCCTGGGCCATGTTTAGTTTGCCAGATTTCCTGAATTTGGCACTATGCAAAAAGAAGATTTCCTGTCACATTAAAATTACGGTACATGCATGGAGTATTAAATGTTAACGAAATTAAAAACTAATTGCATAGTTTGGTTGTACTTTGCGAGATGAACGTTTTGAGTCTAATTAGTCAACGATTGAACAATTATTACCAAATAAAAACAAAATGCTACAGTGTTTGAACAGTGCTGCCGAATCCGGCCTCCAACTAAACACGGCCCTGGTTTCAAGGCATTGATACGGGGAAGAACTATAGCTATAGGCCTATAGCTATTCAAAGAATGTTCCTTCCTTCTTGCTGAGGCCACCGTTTAGTTCAAAAAAAAAGTTTTTCAAAAAGTGTTATAGTAGTCATCACATCAAATTTTGCGATACGTGCATGGAGTATTAAATGTAGATGAAAAAAAACTAATTACACAATTTGGTTGGAAGTCGCGAGATGAACGTTTTGAGTCTAATTAGTCCATAATTAAGCACTAATTGCCAAATAAAAACGAAAATCCTACGATAACTAAATTCCTAAATTTCACCTAACTAAACACGCCCTGAATCTTGCACCCTTTACACGACAGAGGCATACAGCTCTGGGCACACGGCTCTTCACAGTTACGGCATGGCCTTGACCCATGCGGCGCGGCACCCCAGCAGTGGCATGGCCTTGACCCATGCGGCGCGGCATACCGCATACGGCCGTTACGTATGGCTCCGGCACAATCTTTAATCTTTATTTAGCGCCCGCCCTCCGGCTCGGTGAAGGGAAATTACCGAGCAGTAACAAATCAGGGATTGCATTTGCATGGCTGGTTAAACTGGTACTGGACTACTGGTGAGACAAATTAGAATCCTGACGAGTAGTACTTCTGGTATCCTACACTACGGAAAC